GTTTTCATGAACTGGGTCCTCTTTCGATTTATGCGAAGTTTGATCTTTTTCCCCGTTTCGTTGAGCTCGTTGATCGTCGCTTCTGCTGTACTAGCATTTCTTGAGAACATGACAGTGTCGTCGGAAAAACGAGGGTTTGATAGGAATATTCCATCAATACGTATGCCTTTCTCATCCCAATCGAGTGACTTCATTATACACTGCAGCGCGGCACTGAACAACTTTGGCGACGTTGTGTCGCCCTGTCGAATCCCGTTTCCTATGGGTATTGTAAGAGGCCGATAAAAGCTGCATTTTCGTAGCGCAGTTCCGATAACAGGCGGACAGAGTTCTTATGTAGGACGGGACCACTACTTGGTCGACGAGTGCTGATAGGATTGCATTCGTTTCGACACTGTCAAACGCTTTCTCTTAGTCAACAAAGGTTAGGACTAGAGGCAAGTGGTATTCCCGACAAACTTCCAACGAACCGATGACCCTGGACACAGTTTGCACGTGCTCCATGCAGCAAAATGCTTTTCGAAATCCTGCTTGCTCGGCTGGTTGCGCCTCATCCAATCTTCTTGATATACGCGAGAGGATAATCTTCGTGAAGAACTTGTAGAGTACACTTAACAAGCGTATGGAACAATAGTTACAAAGATCCCTTCGGTGTTCTTTCTTGGGCAGGATGACCGTGAGCGACGTCCTTCACTGGTCTGGGATTTTTTCCTTTTGAAAGTAGCCTGTTATATGATCTGCGAGAAGTACATGTAAATTGTCGCTTCCAACTCTAAGGAAGCCGGCGGTAGTATTATTGGGTTCTGGTGCTGTGCGTCTTTTCATGCTTTCCATCGCAACTCAAACCTCCGACGGAAGAATTTCAGGTGGTTTTTCTTCAGTGGGAATATTAGGGCCCAGGACGGGGATTGTGGAACGGAAAGGGTTGGTGTAGTACGTTTCCGCTATTAATTCCGCATCATGGCGAGAAATTTTGACGATCACATCTTCGTCCAACAGGGCTGACAGCGGAGCTTTATAATCACATAAGTCCCGACGGCATTTTTTCAGACTGCTTCTTTTCTCTGCTGCTTCCAGTATTTTCTTCTGTTTGTACCGTTGTAGATCTTCCTGCAAAGCTCTTCTGCAGCTGGCATTTATTACTAGCCATGTTAAACGTGTTGCAGTTAGATCAAGCTCCAGTTTCCTTCTCTTTTCGAGTAACTCCTTAGTGATAGAGATGCGATCCGATCTTCTTGCTTGAGGGACTGAGTCTAATTCGGCACAGCCTTTCAGTCCTTCGACAAGCAGCTCGTAGTCTTCGGTCGGGTCTTCTTTAATCTGCCAGTTATGTTTGAACAGCACTTCGTTTAGAATGTTCTCGTCGTATACAACTAGATTTTTTCCTCGTGGTCGATGACGAGAGTCCGCATCAATCATGCCGTTGGGCGACTCCTATATCCAGCGGCGGCTTTCTTTCTTCTGGAAGAACGAGTTTCCATGGAAGAGGCGTGCTGCTGACAGCTGTCCTGCGAGACGGTTCCAATTCTCGTTTCTTTCTCCTAATCCAAAATTTTCGATCCTGTATTCGCTCTCGTTGGTCTTTCCTATTCTGGTGTTGAAATCTCCAGCAACGAATTTATGATATGCTTTGTCATTGCGGATGACTTCCTCCAAATGATAGTAGAACGCATTTAATTCCTACTCAACAGCTGTGTCGGTCGGTGAGTAGCAGTTGATGATAGTGATCTTCTTATGGTGCGACAGCTAAAGACGGAGGACGGCTATGCGAGGGGAAAGGATCACGTATGAGTCGGCGAGATGGGCAATGGACGGGTAGACGGCAAAGGCTGCGCCACCAACATTTCGTGACGGGACCTTTCCTCCGCGGATCACAAGTGTCTCGTTGTTTAGTTGGCGTATGTCGGTCTTCTTGATTTTTGTATCTTATAATGCGATCACATGAAATTTTATTGCCATCTGCGGCTACAAGAAGGGCGTGAAAATCGGTGTCTGTGGAGAGTGTTCTGGCATTATATGTGCATAGTAAGAGGCAATCTCCACGGCGTGTTGTGGGTGTGTTCGTCGGATCCAGTTCCAATGACGTCCTGCGTAACCCGAAATTTTCTGGCCTCTCACCGGTCGTCTCATCACCTGACGTCATAGACAGGAGCACCGAGTGTGTAGGGTACTGAGGCTGGCTTGTTGCTGGTCGTGCAACGTGGTCCTACCTGGAGTCCTGATGTAATCTTGCGAGGGCGTATCCAGGTCTTCACCACGATGTGGATCAGTGGGAGGTCTGTTTTCGGCGACGAATCCTTCGCTCGGTCTTCCAACTAGTCGATTCGGAGAGATGTTAAAATCGAAATCAGAAACGAAAGTAGGAATGTAAAGGTAACCGACAGCTCATGGACGATGAATCGTTTGGTCTAGTAAATTGTATGTCAGTATACCCCTCCAGGTTCTGAAGAAGGCGATGCTGCCGAAACATCAGCTACTGTTGTATTGTATTGTGTGTCTTTCTATAGAAGCAAGTGCAAGTGTAAGCAGCCTGTGTAACAACCTCGCGATCGTTGAACAAGAAAACGACGGATTCACATTCCAATGGCTAGGTTAATCGAAATTCGGTCCGGGGACTAGTGCTCCTCATATTGCTTTTGTAATAGGTGGGGCTTTTGCAGAGGGAGCTAGAGACAGTATTCAGCGATAGGTTCTAAAAATTTCTCAGTTAGTACAATCTGATACGGCTGCTTGCACAAAAGGTTCGTGAAGTGTATACAATAGCTTATACAGAAAGTACGTGTGAAAGCGTGCAGATGATCGTACGGAAATTTCCTTGGGACGGTAGGTGTTAGGAAGTACATGCAGCTGAAAGCTGCTGATTTAGTGTCCGAACTGTCAGCCAAAGAAGAGCGGTTTATAAGAAGAAGTTATAGAATCCCTTTCAAGCCAGCTGCGGGGCAAGTATATGAGGTGGTCGCTAAGAGGCAATTTAGAGCAGAGGCAAGGGTAGATTTAAGATAATTACAAGTGAACATTTAGTGCATGAAATATACACTAATCCAGAAAATAGGAACTGTTTAGGAATAATTTTGATTGCTGATTGAAATCGTCGATGGCAGAGATCGATAGAACTAGCTGAGAGAGTCGCATAGTGTGGTGGTGAATGCGCTACTCCTCGGAAAGGACAATAGCGCGTTAGTCCCCCACCGCAGACGCCTCCGGTCAGGAGTTTTGCAAATATTTCAGAATTATTGAAGTTATATTTAGAAATAGTTTCTATATCGTGACTCACGTATAGGCTAGATATGCATTGAATCACCTCTAACGATGCTTAATGAAGTGCCATGCATTTCGCACCGCTAAGGGATTTATCAGTGCTGAACGCTCTATCTTTCATTGTTTACATGAAGGCTTTCCCGCTCACCGACCCAAAAAATACATGTGGCTGAGGTCCATTCCGCGGCAAGGGCGTCTAAGATGAATAATCCAAAGTTTCTAAGTGGAATACAGTTAAGAGTAAATCATTGCCAAAACAGGATCGATGGGCTTACAGCTGAAAGTTTACTGACAAAAGTAGCAGAAGGAATAGTGGAACTGAATCACAATTTTGGGGCTCTTCATGCTATGTGTGCGCTTTTAGTGGGCGACGGGGACAAATGAAGTTTGGTGACTCCTTAAGGAATTACTTGATGATTAAAGCACCTGATGTGGATGTTTTAATTCAACAATAGCTGAGTTATTGCTTGTACCTATTTGTGTCTCAGGCTAACTACATGGTTGGTTTTGGGTGTTCTCGTAGTCCACTTTTAATTTGCAGTACGCCATTTGGAGAATCACCACGTAACTTTGTACTCGTACTATTCTGCTCTAAGCAGACGAACAACTGCGGACCATCGACTTAGATCAACGGCTCTGATGAAGGCGATGAAACGTTAGCTGAATAAAACTATGTTACCAATCTCGTGTAAACTCAGCAATTCAAACACATGTTGATTAATTCTTTTTACTTCTGTTCAGCAAACACGAGGTGCTACTTTATTTCTTTATTTACGTACAAGCTTCGGCGGATTTCGCCTTTTCCAGAAGTAGAAAGAATTATTCAATGAATGCCGAGGTTAATAGAAAGTCGGACTTGGGAGCTACATGGTGATTATTTTACTACAATATTACTACATACTATTACAATAAAGTAGTGATTCGTATGAAATGCTGAGATATTTGCAAAACTCCGGACCACAGGTGGAGCTGCTCCCCGGTAAGGACAACAGCGCGTGTTCGTTCTCCACTGCATACACCTGTGGTCCGGAGTTTTGTAAATATCTCAGCATTTCATACGAGTTATACTTCGCAACATAACCTGCCATTAAGAAGAAAAAGGTAATAAATAAAAGAGTTAAGAAAGTAGTGATTGGTAGACGTTTTTAAGCACGAGTGTGAAAACGGGTGTAGATACGCGAGCCATAATGAACGAACCGCATTATGACAAAGACAAGGCCAGGAGTAGTAGTAATTTATTCCAAGCATCTTCGTTATTTCTTGAGCTAGGATATTCAACTTGACGGCGTTGTCAGCCGTAAATGTGCATGATAACAAGAATCAGTAAATCCCCTCCTTAACACTCCTTAAAATCTCAGACTAAATCAATACGTTCCTCGTTTTAGACCAATACGATTGTGTGGAAGTTGTTAGTAAGAGAAAACTATGATGTAGTGTATGATGGAGTAAAAAATGAAAGCGATAGAATGAAATCCATTTACATACACGGAACATCTCTACATTATTGAAGAATAGTTCACAGATAAGTAATAAGGCATGTTTATGAGTGTTTTAGCAATTTTTTGCCAATGAAAATCTTTCACAACGACACATTTCTGGAGCTGCTGAATTATGTCAACACTAAGAAGACAATGGTAAGTGGCATTTAAGTAATTCCTATTTTATAACACCTAAAGGCGATGACCCGAGCTTGGACAGCATATGATTTGATTTGCTAGAAAGTTCAAAATTTCCTTTAGCAGTTAGTATAAACTACATCGTTTGAGCCTTGACGACAAAATAGTGTCTAGGATACTGTCTAACACGAATTGCACTTTTTGTGTATCAGTGGCGCAAGTCAGATGTGTGTAGATGGATTTCTCACGATTTTCGTTTGCTGCCAAGAACTGCATTTCGATGTACTTAGCCGCTTCGTCATAGTTTTCTCCTCCTGAAATGAAAAATCTCAAGTTTTAGTAAACAAAAATCCAATGGATGAAATAGTTCCGTTAACTTCGACAACAAAAGTAAACGCTGTCGTTTTGAGGGTTGGAATTGCTTTGATTCGTTTGATTATAGAGTGTTTGTTTCTTATTGAACATGATCCGGGGATAATTTCATTCAAAGTTCAACGTTTATTTTCTCAATAAGCGCATATGAGACAGTTGTTTCTTCACTATTTATTATATACTATATAAATTATAGGATGAATTGTAACATATAGAATTTTTTTTAATTTTACAATTTACATGACCACATCTACTGTGCTGGTCACAGCATTTCTTGCATTCGTTTCCTTTCCTGGCATCAACCATCCACGAACGTCTTTTGACGTTTTCTTTGCCTGTGGGTTCTGCTGCCTCTTGAGGATTTTTTCCTCTTCACGGATGTCGTCGACTGCTTGACGAAACGAAGCCTGTTGGAATCTGGAGATAGTTGGGCCGGGGCTTTTATGCGTGGACTGAAGCGAGTCACCTTGTTCCAGACTTGTCTGGTACTAACTTCCCGACTTCGGGCCATAGCTTGGAAAGGTGTTGAACCAGCGTATAGGTAGAATTGGCCGTAAGTGTAATGAACGAACCCACTACTATTGTGCCACGGATTACCTCGAAACACTGCTGGAACTCATTTTTTCATGAAGTTATTTTGAAACCAAATATTTCAGGCCGAACTATGAAAACCGCCGAACTACAACATTTGCCTCAGAGTTCGTCCATTTTGCTGATAAAAAATTGCTAAGTATGCAGAGACATAATTAAAAAGTATAAAGGATAAAACTCTTGGCGTTGGTCAATCCCTGAGAGATGCACCATGCATTCTACTTCATTGAGGATCGTTTGGAGGTGACTCAATGCATATCCGGCCTTTACAATAACTCGCGGTGGCCTACCGATGTATCGAGCCAGTGCTTCTATCCTCCCAAACAAGTCTGGTATCAATTTTTCGACGCCAGAAGGATGGAAGGCTTGGTGGGTCATCGGCTTGGGGATCGATCCTACGTGTGTGTTCCAGGGCGCCTCCGACCACTGAGCCCCACGCGCTCCTTGAGAGACATAATTAGTACGCGGAATTCTAGTAACGACACAATCGTGATCACCTTGACAGAACCGTCAAAGAATCTAGCAATCGCACATCCAGATACGAGTAAACCAGTGTCAGTAAACACTCCTAGCGCCTTTGACCTTCATCACCTATCGTACTACTGGTCGTCGATTGACTCGAGCGGGCGCCAGTAAACCTGGCTTTTCTCCGTAACGCGCAAGAGTAGCCCAGTGGGTTCTGCTTGCTCTAGAGAACCGTTGAGCACCATATTTTTTTTCTAGGGTTTTCATGAAGAATTCTAACCACTGGATCGGTGGCCCTGCCGCATGTTTCACATTCCGAGGAGTCTAGTCCCTAACGGCTCATCCCATCGGTTGTCATTCATACGCATTACTTGTCGCATCCACCTCATTTTGCACAAATTTTGTATATAGAAGGGCTTCTGTGATTTTTGATCATTATGTAGGTGGACATTTCGTATCTCTTTCCTCACTTGCGTAATGGGAAATACTCTTATCAACGTCCTTTCGACTTCTGCTTCAAGAGCGCTGACTGATTTTTCATCCCACTTAAGCGGAGCCCAGGTTTCTGAAGCATAAGTAAGGGCAGGAGAAATCGCGTAGTCGAAAAGGTAGGCACGGAGTCGGGTGTTTTTTGATCTCCTCAGTACATCTTTAATGCTGTTGAAAGCTCTACAAGCCGTTCCTTCCATGTGATCAACTCTGAGCTAAGTCGTTCAACATATTGGCTTTCCGATCTAGTTAGACGTTGCTGGAGCATTCGGAGATATGCCTTCTGTTGTGAGAATTAGCCGAAGACCAATCCTTTCACAGGAATTTTGGAAGTCGCTGAGCATTCATTCTGCCTGGCTAGTGTATGGTGTTATAAGAACGATGTCATCAGCAAAGTGAACATGGTGTAAGTAACGACCATCGATTTTCACGCTTATTTTCCCCATGCTAGTGCTCGCGTGATGTTTCCGACAATGGGGGAAAGTAATTTTGGCGAGATTATGTCAACTTGCCAAACTCCTCTTTTGACGTCGATATTGATATTGTAGAATGGTGATATCTTGGTTGTGAAATTTTCAAACAGCTCATGAACAATCCTTATATACTGAGTAGGGACTCGCTTCCTCCCAACAGTTTACCGCGTCGTCGTGGTTGGGAGGTGATCCTGGGTGTCGGACTACAATGTACAGCGGGTGACTCATCCGTGGCATAGTCTCCCGAGCTAGGAAGGAGTCTGGCGTTCCCATCAGGAAGACTAGCGGAGAGGAAACCAATACCAGAATCCACCACCGTCCTGGCATCGAAGTCGTTTGGTGGCAAATCTCCCTCTGATCCACAAGGACTGCAACTGCCTGTGGTGGTGAAGACCTGGGGCAGACTTTGGCCAGGCTGGCCTCGGGATTCCAAGGAACCACAATGGCTTAACCAGCAAATCTCCGAAATTGGTGATTACGCTGGGGCCCGCACAACCAGTGAGAACGGGCCATTCAAAGGTCAAGTTCAAGGGACTCACTGCTTTTCAAGGGCTTCCATGACTGCTTCTTTCTCAATTGAGTTAAAAACCTTCTTTAAATCGATGAAAGGCAGACAGAGTGGTCTTTTGTATTCTCGTGATACTTCAATGAGTCTTGCTATCGCGTGGATGTGGTCTATCGTACTCACTCCTTTACGAAACCCTGTTTGCTCACATGGTTACCGTTCGTCCAGTGTTTTATCAACCCTGTTTAGAATGACTCAAGTGAAAAGTTTGAAGAACGAGGAATGGCGGAAAGTTCTTCAGGTGTTCAGATTTTATCCTGTCCGGACCGAGCGCTGTTCGATTCTTCACGGACGAAATGGTATGTGGGATTTCGGAAAGGAGAACCTGTGGTATGACTTATCCATCCTTCTTTATCTCACATGAGGGCAAAATTATAGGGCTATTAAAGAAATCTGAATAGTAATCGGGAATGATTTTTTCCACTGCCTTTCTGGAATCTGTAACTGTTCCGTCTGAGCGCCGGAGCGCAATCATCTTGGTTCTGAAATTGGCGTGGCCTCGGTTGGCTTTGCGAATGCTTTTCCCAGCCTCTAAATCTTCGACTTTGACTGCTATTCTTCTGTCTTTAAGATCTTCTTTTATCGCTTGCCCCGATTTGCTGCGTAGACGATCCAGGAGTACATGGGTATTCTTGAGCTGTGTTGGGTTGCGTTTCCTCAACTGGATGAGTATTATTTCTATAAACCAAACTATTACATCTGTGCTACCGTTTACACAACTAATGATGGATTCAACTTTGAACGTTAGAGCAATGAGCTGATAGTGATACCGACTGCTGCAGCATGAATTGCCCAAAGACCCAAAAAAGAAGGAACGAGTATCAATGAACAATCAGTATCAACAACTTTCCTCTATAAAAGAGGGCTGCCGAGTGAGGTTACGTCATTCTGGTAGAGTTCCACAGGATTCGACTCTTTGCGGTAGCGCTCACATGGGATGTGGGAATAACTATAGGCAATCGACTCGGATCAAATCGACCTGAAGAAGCGCCTGAACGCTATCCAAATGAGGTTCTTTTTAATAAACCTTGTGCTAGTTTCTCAGTGAAAAAACAAGTGTGTCATATTTTCGCCGTTTTGGTTACGGAGGCGTTTGGCTTGGAAGATTGCATTCCAATTTGACATTTCTAGGCTCTGAGAAAACCAAAACCAAAGAAGCATCAGCAGTTGTGAATGAACACTAATAACAAACTCGTGTTTGTTCATCAAGAAAAGTGTGAATATTGGTTGTCTCGATATATTGTAATACGTTTCCTATGCTATTCGTATATTGTTCTACAAGGTCAGTTCCATAAGATTACCCGTAGTGTATCATAACAGATAGCTGAAAAAGTGCTCCTAACACCTTTCTATATTAAAACATGCTCCACTGTAGAAACACTCGTTAAGAATGGCAACGTCTACTGCAGCGGCAGCTGCTGCCAGGCGGTATTGAGGGGTCACTATCGGGTTGTAAAATCATGTCCTCTTCGTGATCGTTCTAGGTCATCCATCTATGATTCACAGTCATAGCCTTGCACCATAGATGCATTGGATTCACTCCTGCCTCCGATACCTATAAGTGCCGTGTATTTTTATCCTCGTTACCTTATTGTGGACGCGTGTGGCGCAATTGTCGGAGGCGCTCCACAATACATATATACGTATACATACGTATCGATCCCTGCCTCTCAAGCTCACCAATCCTTCCATCTCTCAGGGGTTGGCAAATTGGTACCACTCTTGTCTGTAAGGATAACAGCACTGGGTTGATACATCGGTAGACCACCGCAGTTCATTGTAAAGACCAAATGCGCCTTCAGTCACCTCCAACGATACTTAATGGAGTAGAATGCATGGCACGGCTCTCTTTTCCTAATATGAAATAAAGGAGGATGAATATATCGTATCATCGGTTCTCTCTTCCGAAATCCGACATGGTATTTCGTAGGTGAAAAATCGAATACCAGTAGGATGTAGTGATGAGAATAAAGAACACATAAATCCGTGCCCACTTTTTCGACTCAACGACACTTCCTGCTTTAACGTATGCATCAAAAACCTGGTCGCTGCGTAAGTAATGAACGAGCAGTCGAAAGGACAGTGCTAGGAATATCTCGTGTCACACAAGCAGAAGAAAGTATTCGAAGCCCCGATCTGCGTTAACGATCAAAAATAAAGATGTCGTTCCATTCACCAAACAGTCGAATATAAGGTGCGCGGGACAAGTAATGCATATAAACAACAACCGATGGACATGAGCCGTAAGGGACTAGACTCCCCAGAATGCTAAACGTGCAGCAGGACCACCGACCCAGTCATAATTCTTCATGAGAAGTCTAGAGAAAAAATATGGTGCTCAAAGGGTCCCGAGAGCAAGCAGAACCCACTGGCCTACTCTTGAGCGCTATGGAGAAAAGCGAGATTTTCTGGCGCCCGCTCGAGCCACTCCATGATCATCGGGACTACAGGTGATGCGGGTGATACAGGCTGTTAAAAATTTTATATATAAAGATTTAGTTGCCCACGTTTGAGGCCCATTTGTGGCAATGCAAATGGCACGTAGGAAATGATAAATGCCTGAGCATTTTGCATTGCACGAAGTAACATTAGCTGCTGTATCGGTCCGTGCCACGCTCAACTGAATTAAGTGACACGTGGTTGGATGCATAAATTTTTTTGTTGGAACAAACCGTTCAACATATTAGTTTCGTTGTCATCAATAAGTCATAGCAGAAGAAAGATATTACTCGAAAATGTAACACGGCAATGTTTGCTGAGGAGCTGAAAATCACTTCGTCTATTATACATCGTATTTCTCCCTTCTTCCACCGTTTCATTCGATGTAGTGCACGCTTATTTAAACTATACATTGCTTTTATAAATGAGACTTTCCAGTCCTTCACTGACTAATCGTGTATTTATTGATCTTTATCTTCCTTTTTTTTATAGCAACAAAAAATTTCAGCTAGAAAAACGGTTTTGATACAAAAATGCTGAAAATGAAATATGTGAATGTTTCTTATGTCTAACATGCCGTGGTTGTTGGTATCGAAATGATACTTGAATGGCCCGTCCTCAATGGTTGCGCGTGCCCCAGGTCAATGGTTGTGGTTAAGACACTGTGGTTCCCTGGAATCCCCAGGTCAGCTTACTCAAAGCCTGCTCCAGGTATTCGCCACCACAAACAGTCGCAGCCCTTGTGGATCAGAGGGAGATTTGCCACCATGCGACTTTGATACCAGGACGGTGGTGGATCTTGGTATTGGTTTACTCTTAGATAGGCTTCCTGTTGGAAACGCCGGACTCCTTCTTAGTACGGGAGACCTGCCAAAGGTTGAGTCACCCGCTGTACATCGTAGTCTGACACCCAGGAACACCTCCCAGCCACAATGAGACGGTAAACCGTTGGGAGGACCGAAGTACTAGTGCCATAAAACAATAGAACTGAGAACAAACCTTTGTAATGTGGGAACGCAATCTTCAATGAATTGCCATGTCCTATTTTCTTTTCAAAAATATCCTTTTTGTTTAAGAAAAGAATGATTGAGGTCCTCACAAAGTACTTATTATTGATGACTTGTCGAAACAGTTGAAGTGATTCTTGCATGCGATTCTGCAAACACAGTCATATTGATATAAATAGATCTTCCATAAAGAGCAATATCAAAGAGTATCAGGCTTGCTGTCTATGTTCCGAATTATTGATAGAAATGCTTTTTTAACCTCTACATTTTTGAGTTTATTGTACGTTAGCTCAGTTATGGTAGCTGGTTGATAAATTTGTAACACAACCGAAGCAAGGTTTTTGTTACACAGTGCGCTGTGGTCTTCCGACGATAATCCTACTCTTTCTGTACGAATGCCAGGAAAGGAATAAGATATAGGTAGTGCTGGGATCAGCGCAGTGTGATACGTGTTATGTGAGGTCATTCAATAAAAAATAATAATAAATGTTAGTAAACAGTTTTAACAGAATTTAAACTGATTAATAATTAATATTATTATCAAATGATAACAATAATTATTAATTGCACCAATAATAATGACAGTAATAGTGGTGATAATAATAATAGTAGCATGTCGGAAAAATCTTAGTAGCTTAAGTTAGCAGTTAATAAAATGGGTTAAAATCAACTCAGCTGTCAGTTTTCTATGTTTCAGTTTGTTTCTATGTTTATGTTGTACTGTTTTCTATGTTTTTATGTTTTTCTATGTTTCTATGTTTTTTTTTTCTACGTTTTCAGTTTTTCTTTACTCAGCTTTTCTATGTTAACGGTGCATTAAGCTGCTTATCGACAACGTTAAGTAATCGCTTACTGTCATATTGTCTTCAAGCAGAACTTGATCGTATTCACTCAACGATGCCACGTAGATGATCGCTTTTGCGTCATCGAAGCAGTGGACCCACTTCTTTCGTTGCGAACGCTGACCTCCAACGTCAAATACCCTTGAACATGTCAGGCCTATTTTTTGATGTTGATGAGCGTTTTTTAACTTCAGCAAACACGTTTTGTCTTTATGGTAGAATATCATTTTGTGATGTTCTCTGTTACTTTCTACTACCGCAAAAATACAATATATGTAATCTACTATTGTCACTCCTCCCAACGGTTTGCCGTCTCATTGTGGCTGGGAGGTGTTCCTGCGTGTCGGACTGCGATGTGCAGTGGGAGATTCATCTCCTGGCAGGGTCTCCCAAGCTGAGAAGGAGTCAGGTGTTTCCATCAGGAAGCCTAGCTAGGAATAAACCAATACCAGGATCCACCACCGTCTTGGTATCAAAGTCGCATGGTGACAAATCTTCCTCTGATCCACAAGGCTGCGACTGCTTGTCGCCGCGACGACCTGCGGCAAACTTTGACCAGGCTGACCTCTGGATTCCAGAGAACCACAATGCCTTAACCAGCAAATCTCCGAAAAATGGAGATTGTGCGGTGGCCCGCACAACCAGTGAGGACGAGCCATTCAAGTGTCAAGTGTCGCTATTGTGACTACATATAGACTTAGGAAATCCAGAATCAATACTGAAAAAATGGCAAAAAAGTTTTCAAATTTGGAAAACTTAAAGGCGTTCGATAACGGGTGGACAGGTGAATGTGGCCGTAGATCAGACGTTTACATTATAACCGCTTTATGTGAATGAATTTCAGGTGTCTACGATGTAGCATTTCAGTGCACCTTTTGAATATGTGTGACAAGGAATGTGGGAAATAGTTCAGTCAGAAAGATTGTTCAGCTAAGTATCAACCGCGGCTTACAATAAATATTGAATGTTGCCTAGACATTAAACCCAGAATCTATTTGCACTCCACAGGTGATGTGTTTTAGCGACAATGTAAGCGCGATTGTTGTGTGTAATAAATGATTTCCAGATTATACGAATAATAGTAATGGCAAAAGTGAGATTGATATTTATAGTAACAAATAATAAATAATAACTCCGGGACAATTGCAAACGTTAGCACAAGCACAAGTACAAAATCTTTCAAGGTGAAGTCGTACCTCCAGAACTTATTTTTTATGTGAAAACAGACTTCAATCACTCCCATTGTGACTGTACGTGTCCGCAAGATGTCCTGTTCAGTGGGAACGAAATTCTTATCATAAATCCGATCCAACGAATCAAGAAAGCTAAATTGAAGTCAGTTATGTCGCTGTGCTAGTCATTTATTGAATAAACGATTAGAGATAGAGCTATCGACGAAATTCATCAATCCCAGAGGGTTGCGCCTGGCATTCGACTTTATCAAGTACCGCTAGAGTTGACTGAATTCAACTGATATGGCTTATATAATGACCAGCGGTGGCTTACCAATGTATCAAGTCAGTGGTACTATCCTCGCCGACAAATCTAGTACCAATTTGCCCATCTCTGAGTGATGGAAGGCTTGGTGGGCCCGGAACACGGGATCGAACCAACGACCACGTGTGTGTTGCAAACTAGCTCTTACCCTCACTCGTTGTGAGCCCTCTGAGCATAAAACCACGCTATATTTGGGTATTCAGTAGCCAGAGAACATTTATAGTATTCGAAAGATTTTTAGGCTTACGATCAATACTCAGTAACCAATGGTACTACTTGTAAAATGATAACAATCATGGGTAAAAAAATAAAGGATAAAGCTCTCATCGTCGATCAATCCTTAAGGGATGTGACATGTATTCGACTTCTTTAAGTATCGTTGGACGTGATTAAATGCATATCTGGCCTTTACAATGATTCAAGGTGGCCTACAGATATATCGAGCCAATGCTGCTATCCTCTCAGACAAGTCTGGTACCAATCTGTCAACCCCGTGGAGGTGGAGGGCTTGCTGGGCCATAGGTACAAAGATCAATTCCGATCGACTCCATGTGTGTGTCGCAGTGGCGCCTCCAACCACTGCGCCACATGCGCCTTTTTATAAACATGGATATAATCAGAATATAGAACTGTTTTGAAAAGTCCCATGTATTCACCGTCAAGACACACTTTTATTTTGTTAACAAATTAGAATGCTAGCAAAAAATTATAGATGTGAATATTTAAAAACGTTACATTGGTTTATTAAAGCAAATGACTTACTACTTTGCCGAGTCATGTAAATAAAATTCATCTCGCCTTTTATACGCAACTTCGACACCTTTGTCATTCCATAACGTCTTTATAGATCTAAAAACGTTTTTCTCTTCACAAAGGAAACCGTGGAAAGCAATGGAATGAGTATTCTTCAAATCAGCTACACTTTGAGACATTTTTTTCATCTACCTTTATTGACTATTTGTGAAATTTCTCAAATCTACTACTGCTAAGTGTAAATCAAGCATGGTACATTGTCTTTCTTATATCGATTAGCTTCGATTAGATCATTGCGTACGTTTCAAAAGTATTCTATAAAAAAGATTCATGATCAACCGAACGATGCTGAGATATTCTCAAAACTTCGACCCCGCTCCAGATTAAACCACGATTTCCCTTTCTGGGCTCGCGCGTTACACACTGCACCACGGAAGCCCTTGCTCAGCTTTTCTGTAAGCTAGTTTTCTGCCTACCAATGCCATCCGCAATCACCCATGGATGACTTCGAATAATGCTTTGCAGTGAGGACTATAATAGGCAGCAAATAAAGAAGACGGGTGATTGCCGATGGCAGTGATCAATAGAATTAGCTGAGCGAAACGATGGACAAGGTCCTCTGTGGCGCAAAATAATGTGCGAGGCTCCTGAAAGGAAAATCGTGGTTGGATCTGACCCTGGGTCCAAGTTTTACGAATATTTCAGCATCTTTGTAGTTGATTTCGAATAATACTCGGCAGTGAAAATTGTAGTATGCAGTGAATAAAAAGAAAACGTTGATTCATGTTCATTTGCGATTATTCCACCTAGTTCTTCTTTGGTTCTTAATCGAAATTAATTCTCCAATTCAGTTTTTGTCACGACTTTCATGCAGAGGGCTTAAATTAACCAGAAAAAAGATCTGTTTTCAATAGTCCAAGTATTATGAACCATGGTAATCCAATGGCGAGGTTAATAGAAAGTCGAACTTGGGATCTGTTTTCACTTTATAAGTATCAACACCATTTTATCCGAAACACTAGCAAATCATAGAAAATAAGCTGTTATAAATGATTGAATCTGAAGAGTAGGACCTTATTCGATTTAATGAAAACACTTAATGGGACTTGAGAGAAAGAAGTCTTGAAGCTCATTAAACAGAAAAAAAACTAATGTAAGCACGGACTTGTACAATTCTTCTGTCAGCGGTTGGAATTCTTCATTTCGATCTAAAATGTCTTTGACGATTACAGCGCATTCCTAAACAAAAGAGAGATGTGAAAAACAAAACGGCGGGAAAATAATAGATGAAAACTTAACGGAGGTGAAGAAAAAACGAAAAAGAAAACCAGGTTTTCATACGAGGCACTGTTTCGATGTGAATGGAATATTCAATGCTTTCATTCCGTCAATGAGGGCACAAACTGATTGTACGATATTCGCACAAACAACAGAAACCTCTTGGTAAGCTTCGTCTTGTGAAAAGCCATTGTCGTGAATAATTCTGGAAAGATTTCAACAATTCCCATAAGATCACTAATTACCAAGATCTCATTAAACTGGTACCAAATTTACTCCTTTTCTGAAGCAAGATGGAGTTCTCAAAAAACATATTGGATAAAAAATGAATTTTTTAATTGAGGTTTGTTTATGTTTTCTACATTTTCGATCCCTCTCAACGGTTTACCGCCTCATCGTGGCTGGGAGGTGTTCCTGGGTGTCGGACTGCGATGTACAACGCGGGATTCGTCCACCCGGCAGGGTCTCCCAAGCTGGGAAGGAGACTGGCATTTTCATCGGGACGCCTAGCTAAGAGTATACCAATACCAGAATCCACAACCGTTCTGTTATCAAAGTCGCCTGATTGCAAATCTCCCTCTGATCCATAAGGGCCGCGACTGCCTGTCGTGGTGACGACTTGGGGCAGACTGATCAGGCTGACTTCGGGATTCCAAGGAATCACAATGGCTTAACCAACCAAATCTCCTAAAAGTGGTGATTATGCTGAGGTCCGCACAACCAGTGAAGACGGGCCGTTCAAGTATCAAGTATCAAGTAAGTACATTTTCGATCACTCTTCGTTTCCACAAATAAGACCATTCTGTTAAGAAAATTTGTGAAACAGTAATATGGTGTTTTACTATGATTAAATTAAATGGAACGATATCAGTTACTATTTGAAATGATCCGATTAGAGGCGAAACGCAGTTTATGGCTGTGTAGGTTTAATTTGGTCCTCTAACGACGAAGCTGGTTTTTTAACAACTGGCAATAATTTCTCGATCACCAGAATATTTAGGGGGTTCAGAACCTCAGATTTGTAGAGCTGGCTTCATATCACATCGGGTCAGTCACATGTATAGTTTCTATACCGTTTTCGTTCAATTTAAGCATATTTTAGAACAAAACTTTCAAATAACAGAAAAGGAAGCCATGTCACTAAAATTTCCAACGAAAAAGAGGCAGTTGCAAACATATATGATAAAATCGAGAACAGCATAGTGTCATGCTAGCTGACGAAAAAGAAAAGATTCTCTAGCAAGGTCTCCGAACACGAGAAGGATTTCAATATTTCCAACTAAAACCTTAGCTAAGAGCAAGCCTACGCTTCGGTCACAGTCTCGCATGTTTCCCATCAATGTTTTCCCCACAGAAACTGTTAAAAAAGGACATAACAAAAGTGCCTGATGCTGCTTTCTTGTACTAGTCTGGTATGCGGCGTGAACAAAGTTTTTCTGCTGTCAGTTCAGCTTGATAATTAGCAGGGCCACATATGGAATATGGCAGCTGGTTTCTCTGCAGCACAGCTCCATTCGTTATATCCTTAGGACCAATCACTATAAACCGAGTAAAGATATCAATAAATCAGTTCCTTGATGAGCCAAGAAAAGAATTTAAAACATCGGCTGCTAAAACTCTCGAAGTGTGCTGGATACTTCAAAAATCCAGAAATGGATAGCAAATGGTAGTGTCTTGTGACCACCTGTGACCTCTTGCCATATCACAGGCTGGTTTTTCTGCCTGATGCAGGCACATTCACCATCCATGTCGGACTCTTTGCAGGTGGCCTCCACCAAATAATTGGCAGGTTTGCAATGAACACAACGGTGTGTTGTTAAAAGAAGTACTTTACTATGCAAATGGGAATATATATGCTAAGTTTTGTCCAATAAGGTTATCAAAGTGGTCGGCTGAGTAGATGCATATCAATTTGACCTTTCCGAGCTCTAAAGAAGACGAAAGCGCCAAAACCTCGACTGTCGTAAACTAATAAATGTGGTGATAACAATATTGTGTTTGCCCATCGGGAAAGTAGTGCTTTATTGATCCATGGAGATGTTGAAAAAATCTGGTCCTGAGATTTGCTACAAGTCAAAAGCGTTCTCGGTAGTACTAAGGTGAATATAAATGCCGAAGCAAATCCTTTCCTTTTTTCTATCTTTCATTTCATTGAATAAACAGAGGAAGATGTGGCCTATACAGTCTAAATGTTCGCTAGCCTAGTCATGATCACCTGCTATTATACTGAACACATAGCGGACGGTGTTCATTGTCTACAATCACAAGCGGCGCGCGTATTGGTGAGTATGCGCAGTATGGTGGTTATTTTCTTTCTGATAGTTTATTTTGGCACATAGAACAGTTTTCAACACTTTCTGCAATCGATCGACTGCTTGTTCAACAAAGGTGTCGTGAAATGTGCCTGCTGGGAAAATCTCTATTTCACACCTAGGCATATAGAAAGATTCTTTCTCGAAGGAATTCATTGACCAATAATTTGACATGTAATTGTTGTTTCAATTCTAATTGCTATAGTGAACTATAACTTCAATGATGCTGAGATATTTGCAAAACTCCGGACCGCAGGTGTACGCGGTGGGGAACGAACGCGCTATTGTCCTTTTCGGAGAGTAGCGCGTTCACCACCACACTACGCGGATCCTTCGTTCCGCCTGTCTCTCGGCTAGTTCTATCGATCTTTTGCCATCAGCAATCACCCGTCAGCGGGATTGATCTGGGGGGCCCAAATCGGCAACGAACCCAGTTAAGTTGAGGCCGCATTTATAATCACAATTTTAACTTATTATTTACTGCCTACTCTTTTTAACGGCAGGGTATACTTTTGCCAGATCAATCCCGCTGACCGGTGATTGCTGATGGCAAAAGATCGATAGAACTAGCTGAGAGACAGGCGAAGCGAAGGATCCGCCTAGTGTGGTGGTGAACGCTCTACTCCCCGGAAAGGGTAATAGCGCGTTCGTTCCCCACCGCATACACCTGCGGTCCGGAGTTTTGCAAATATCTCAGCATCATTGAAGTTATATTTCACAATGTATACCCTGCCGTTAAAAAGAGCAGGCAGTAAGTAATAAGTTAAAATCATGAACTATAAACTTTACTTATTGCTCAATATGCATTCTTTCTTTGATGAGCTTACACAAGGTTGATAATGATATTTATTTTCGGCTAACATTTTGACGTCTTCGTCTTCCTCAGAGCCGATGGTCCGAGTCGATGGTCCACGCTTGTTATTCGTCTCGACGTGGCAGCTTCGCCTTCGTGTCGAGTTGTGTATTCCTCAGTGGGCCATGTCCTCGTATGAGGCATACTCACTCGGTGATGCCCTTTTATACACGATGATAATAAGGAAATTTTACTTACCGCCATTCTTACTTTCGTGGCAGGGTATTATGTGAACTACAAGCACAAAGCTGAGATATGAGCAGAACATGGAATCTCAACTGGGCTTCGAGCCAGCGAATACTCTATCCGGGAGTTCACATGTTATCCACTGAACCAACCGAAGACCTCGTTTTGCCTTTCTCTGAGCCAATTTTTTTCTTATTTTATTGGTGTTATCAGGATTCATCCGTCAATGGTAATGTTATGGAGAACATAAATCGCATTGAACTGAACCCATGTCGGCTGAAGCCCCAGTCGAAACCACTATGTTTAACTTGCATTTGCTGAATATATAATTACTGTGTGGAGTGTTCCGGTATAGAAAAATAGCGAAACATTCAGAGAATAAGCTGCAAAACACTTCCAAATGTTGACAGCCATGAGTTCACATGATGGAGCGTGCTAATGTATAGTAAATTATAGCACAAGTAGCATTTATACTCATAGAACGATCGAACAAAGTCCCTTCTGCAATGCAGTGATGTTCTGAAACCCTCAAGTGCTCTAGTTATTCAAAAACTATTCTTTATTGAACAACAAAGAGTGACTTCGTAAAAGCTGATTAGGCGTCGTTCCAGTCAGCAGGACTTATTGTTGCAGGCAAAAAATAATTAAGAAACGTCTGATGTCAATCTCTAACTCACTTCATTTGCTTAAGTATCGTACTTTTTCCACTCTCGCCGGCTCCTGAAATAAAGCTGATTAGCTGGAAACCTTGTCAATGTTTTTTTCACAACAGAATAAATGCCCGTAGTTATGGTAAAAAGCGGATAGTCTAGTGGTAGTGATGCTTATATTCACGAGCACGGTGCTGGTTCGCTCCCGCTCTGGGCTGGCCAAGCCTCTTACCTTTCCGAGGTCGGGAAATTGGTGCAGGATTTGTTTGGGAATAGTTCACTTGCTACAATCCAAGTGGTAACGCTCTAGTCCAGCTATCCTAGGTCTTCAGGGAAAATCGACTCGAGCTGCGTTCGACGATATTCATGATGGAAGGCAGATCTTCTAACAGCACCAGAATACACACGTAAAAAGTAATTAGACCATTGTGGGTGATGTATGCGAGAAAACGAATCGAATGTGAAAAGTACTGGGATTCGCACAGTAGACGTGAAAACGGTTCCTGCAAACGTAAAAGTTAAAAAAGCAAATTATGAGGGTATGGTTGCAAACGCAGTTCGGTAGCTATTATTCGGGAAGTAATCGCAGTATTGTAAAGCATTAAGACCTTTCAGGTCTGAAAGACCTTAAGGAGAAAAGAAAAAATGCTTTTCTTTTTTAATTTTTTTTGATTCCTCCCTATGGCTTACCGATTCATTGTAGCTGGGAGGTGTTCCTGCGTATCGGGATGCGATGCACAGCGTGGGGTTTCATCCGCTCAGCAGAGTCCTCGAAGCTGAGAAGGAATCCAGCGCTTCCATCAGGAAGCCTAGCTAAGAGCAAACCAGTACCAGGATCCACCACCGTCCTGGTATTGAAGTAGATACATGGTGGCGTATCTCCTTTTGATCCAAAAGGGTGGCGACTGCTTGTGGTGGCGAGGAGCTGGGCAGACTTTGGTCTGGATGACCTCGTGGCTCCAGAGCACCACAATGACTACGGCTGCAAAACTCCGAATAAATGGAGTCTATGCTGGAGCCCTCATAACCAGTGAAGACGGGCCATCCAAGTATTCAAGTAATTTGCTCTGATTAGCATATTTTTCTAATTGGCGGTTGACAAAACAACACGCTTTGAAGATCATCTGTTCCGAACAATTCAACGACGCTGAATCATTAGCTCTCATTGCAGATGATATTATTATCAATCAACCAAGTGCTCGTGCAAACCAGCCCTTCCAGAGTTTGTAAATTGGTGCCGGAGTTTTCTAGGACAGAAACATCGAATTATTGCATCGGTAAGTTTTCAGGAGCTATTGTTTAGGTTCAGGTACGCATTCAATCAACTCTAGAGCGCTACGAGTAGATTCTAGTACAGGGGATTGGTCAACGCTGAACGATCTACGCTTTTGGTATTTTTATTCCTTTTAAATGGAATTATCAAAAACGTTTTGAAGCATACGAATATTGATTAGATGGTTATGAGATAAAGGATAAGGAATGGAGCTCTCGGCGTTGATCAAATCCCTGATGGACGCGCCATGGATTCGACTTCATTCAGCATCGTTGGAGGCTGGCCTTTACAATGGAG